CGGTCAAGTACATCATGTTCACCACAGTCGCCAAGGCGCGGGTTGATGGTATGGCCTGGACGGTACCTGGAATGGAAAGACCAATATTTTCTTCGTGGGCCCCGGACTGAAGGTGAGCGCTGGCGGTTACATCGAGCAACTCGTGAAGAATATCCTCCTCACATGTCGTCGCCCGTACCTTCTTGGAAACTTTGTACTGCTACAGCATTGGGTGCCACCACATGGAATCGAAGGGCGTTGGAGAAACTCTCGCCTACTTGGAATGGAAGGGGCTGAGTACCTAAAGAAGATGGAATATCCAAGTAGGTCACCTGACCTGAATCCCTCAATTACCCGGTTCGGGCGGAGTTCAATAGGGTGGTCTACGGTGGCGGAGAAATCGACTATCTCGCTGATCTCAGGCACCACATCGCGGTCGCGTGCCAGAATCTCTCGATGGCGCTCGTCCAGAAGGCTGTGGCGGAGTTTTATAATAGTATTTAATATGCTCTTTAATATGGTGGTAGAAATGTCCGATTAGAATTCATTTAAAGTGTAACTTATAGCGCCACGAAAGTCAATGAAGAAAAGTGACTTTTTTGCCCCCTCCCCTGTATGCCTGCTCTGGTTATGGAAGCTTGTAATAAAGTGGGATAAGATAGGAAATGACAAGGATCCTAGTGATGGAAGAATTGGGGAGGCAGAAGTTCGCCCTATTTTCGTAGAAGTCCGAGGTCAGAGAGGTTTGACCGTGTCTTTTGGTTTTTTTTCTCCACTGTTAATCCGCTAGCATAAACAATCCCATCTGAACCCCATTACGTGAGACACGCAATCACGCATTGGAAACACAGCCATGCCTGCCATTACGCCTTCCACTTGGATGCGCCCATTTTTTGGTTTTTTCGAGCAACAATGACGAAGGCGCAGTTATGGGCCTGACTCCTCCCATATGATTAGCATGACTGTACCTTTTGGGAGGCAGGTTCACGTTAGCACTCGGTAGACGTAAGGTCAATGGGCATAACAACAATCGCTCCGAAAACAAGTGCACAATATGACGCAGAAGCGGAAACTCCGCAAGAAAAGAGCTAGAGGAGTTCCATGATAAGTCCTTGGATGAACAACCGAGATGAGTGCCCCACAATCACAAATGTCCCTTTACCGTTCATAGTATTGAGCGTTGTACAGTCGTGATCCCCGGAAACAATAGGGCGCAGGTGGTTGGGCAGCCAGAATTTTTCACCAATTGCAGTTCAGAATGGCATCGTTGTTGAAAAAAGGCCGCCATGGCCGAGCTCCCAACCATGCCGCGTCAAGTGCCCAATCGTTTCCATAGACCACTACTGTAAGTAGTCAATGTTGCGAATTTTGCCTGCGTCCTTTTACTTTTACATATAAGTAGACGCTACGGTAGGTCTCATTCGTCACTTGGTATCCGCAAGTGAAAACGGATTTCCGTTAGAACCTATGTGAGTGCACTTTTCGTGTTATTTTGGACTTTCGGCAGCGAGGTAACCGATGACATCATAACTAGCGAGTAACCTAAAACCTGGAACTAGTCTGGGAGTGCAGCGACGACACCCTTCCCAAGGAGATTTGGGTTATGAATTATTCTTGAGCATTTTTAATTACTTACAATTGCTTCCACGATATCAATTAATACTCCGTTTGGATCGATATTGGGTAGAAAAGTTTCCTCGTGACTCAACAAAGGCTAGAGTTAAACCCTTTATGCAGAAATACTCTCACATAAGCCCAGCTAGACTACATTTACTTCAGAGTGAACACATTAAATAACGAGCACCGAGAAAACTGACATGACTGGTTTTATGAGTGAGGCGGATAGGATTGCGGATCCCAAGCGTTCCAAGTGGTACCGTCTCGGGATGCGTCTTGTTGCGGTCGCCAGTCCTGGGTGGCGTAGTCCGCAGTACCGGGAGGGACATAGGCTGGACCGGGGTCGGTCGACGTTGGAATCCAAGATTCCTTCGTCTCCGGTCAGGATGTGATGCGTGGCGACGACGAATTCGAACTGATCGTTGAATGGGTTCAGGAACTTGTACGCGAGAACGTACAGGTCGGTAGCTCACTTGCCGATCGAATGCGGCAGTTTAGCCGCATTGGTTGATCACGCCTGCAATTGCACAACACTTTATAGTACGACATCTCATCCTTACAGACATTTTTACAGTACGACTTTGCTATACGGTCACTTTTTTTTCTAGTGTTTCTTTCTGATCAGCGGAGAGAAGGGATCATTCAATTCTTCTCGTTCTCATGACAGTTGTAGAGATGAATGCGCGGTATAAGTGCACCAGGGCACCTCCTGGCGTTGGGGGGGGGGAATTATCAATAATGGTCCCCAAATTCCCTCCTGGCTCCTTTACCGACATCTTACCAATCTCGACCAGAACTCGCAGGGTCCCATCCGAGGTTACAGTCATTTCCGATCAACTATCAGAAATAGCAGCATGTGAGCGCTGTCGAGCAAGAACGAGCGGAGTGGGACGGGTGGCATATAAAGGGTTTGAAACGGAAAAAGTCAACAATGAGAAGGATTTCCCTCAACCCAACTAAAACTCCCATTCTCTTCAGCGACCCATCCCGAACGCTTGCCCTCACACGATCATGCGTGCCTTGAAGGGCGCCCTTGATCGTGTGAGAGCAATGCAGCCGCAGACGTCCAAGACAGCATTCAGACTTCGCGATGACGTGCGTCGACGCGCTACATCGCGCAACGACGCGCTAGCAAAGGGATGAAGGCAGCCCCAGGCGGGTATTGATCGACGCCGGCCGCTCAAGCTTCATGAGAGTGTAGGAGACTAGGAGGGTAGGCGATGTCTAATAACACTGTCTGGTACCCTTCTGTCTTTCTACACTCTTCCAAACCCCCAGCGGCTGGCATCTATAGCATTGAAGCACTGTTGCGATAGCACCGCGTCGAAGCGCGTCGATGCGCGTCGATGCACGTCATCGCGAAGTCCGAACGCTGCCTAAGGTGAAAGCCATAGGAGCGATAGAAAGTAGTTCCACATAAGCCTTATATTGTGAATTGAATTACACATTCTTCAAAGCTCAATTAGTTTGAATTAGTGCTTACGTCATCATCGCAATAAACGATTCGTGCAGGGATTGCTCGTCGGATGGATGCACCACTTGCCACCAAAATCGTCCGACTAGTTGATCAGGGGTGAGGCCGAGTAGTTGTGAGACACGAGCATCGACGAACGTCATTTTACCATCGTCGGCGATTCGCATGGAAATCCTCGTCAACTCGGCAGGGTCACACAAAGGCATGGAGGCTACCTGTAAAATGTTTTACAGTACGAACAGTCATTTAAGTGCAGCATTCCGCGAAAAATAAGGCTATTGCCTCTCAAATGTGTCGGACGATCCGGAAGGCGATTTTTGAGGCTGCGCTACTTTCAAAATGTGAAAAACGGCAAGAACTCCGCTAGAAGCTGACTAATTAGGCCCATGGACACCCCTTAGGCCCATGCCGACCCTCACCGGCTGCTAGCTACTAGCTAGTAGCCACTATGTTATCTTTATCTATAATATTTCGGACTGCTTTTACTGCTGCTTTTCTCCGCTAATCAGATACCTAGCACTTTTTTGTGCCTATTTGAGTTCCGTTTCCCGCAATTTGCGGTCGCGAACTGTGCCTTTAAGGCCACAACAAAGGAGGTGTAAGACGCGCACGGACTGTTCTGACCTAGATTAAACCCTCTACCAATGAACGGGAATAGTCACTTCATTTACAGTCTAGTTCACTAAGCATGATGGGGCGTGTCAGCGACTGCGTTTGGAATTTATGGGAAACATTGATAGGAACGATTAGATAG